CTGACTCTTTCTGACTCTTTCTGACTCTTTCTGACTCTTTCTGACTCTTTCTGACTCTTTCTGACTCTTTCTCTTGTTTGATCTTCTTCCTTCTTTTCTTCTCCTCTCTCTGACTCTTCCCATCTCTGCTTTTTCATCTGTCCATATTGTCGGAAGTTTGACTTCTAAAACTTCCTTCGACAAGTACGCCTACAACTACAACTATGACAATAACTCGACGACGCAGTCTTTGGGGGGGAAAGGGGGTCAAAAGGCTGCAGCCGATTTTTACATCCATCCCGACCTTGCTTTAAAAAAAGGATGCTGCTTATATTTTTCGGAAAAGGTGGGCCCGACGCAGCCTTCGAAAAAAATCCATCAAAAACAGAAGAAATCCAAACATTATAATGACCTGAACCGCGCAATGCGTACGGGAGGACAAAACTTGTGCGCAAATGCAATGCAAAATTTTGCTTTAAATAATAACAAGGAGATTCCTCCCCCCAAAAAAGCATCAATTTTCCATACTTTTATGGCTTGCAGGAGCACGTTTTAGAACCCCACCATGCGTAGACTTTGGGGTTCTAAGTTGCTCTCCGTTGAGGGACGCTAAAAGCCTTGTATTTTTTGAAAGGGTACCATTTTAGAGACACATTTGGGTTCGAATTTGTCGGACACCTGCAGGCAAGAACAGGCGTCCACAAAGTTGTGGCGGTGTGAGGGCGATAATTCGGAGGCTGCACGGTTGTTTTTCTTCCTAGCACACGGGTGCCATGCAGCCCTGGATGCACCTAAAAAGGTGTGTCCAGACGCCGTGGATTCGTGCACCAAGACTGCGTGGGAGAACGGCGGGCTGCGGGGGATGCCACGGTTGCCGGTGTTCCTCTCCAAGCATAAGGTTCCCCTGGGTTCGCCCTGGATGCCAAGCATCCAGAGGCGAACCTGCAGATGCTGTGCGACTTCGTAGAAGAGGAAGGGGTAAGTTTGGGCACCCTCTTCCTGCCGCAGAGCATGGGGCTCTTGGCAGAAGGGGGGAGAGCCTTAGGCCCCCGAGCGCTAGGATTTTTACGGCCGCAGTGGCACGAAGAGCAACCTCAAAGATTCGCGGCAAGGACCGTTGTCGCCCTCCTCTGCCGCTTGGCAGGGGGGCCGGCAAACACTTAAAGAGGCGCTCCGTTCAGGCCCGGCCGGCATTCAACTTCTGCGCGACCTCAGTGGCCGTGCGCATCGCCGAAGGGCGATGGACTCGGTGTCATCCCTGGCCGGGGCAACTTGGCTCATTGAATTGAATAGCTAAGATTATTCCATGGGCCAAGCCGCCATAATTTTATAGGAAGTTGAGAAGCAATACTTCCGAGTTACGGATGACTTTTACCTGATGAAGGGTGGTGTGCGACTTTCCACTACATAACAATACATCACAAAAGATTCGACTTTGATGAAGGGTGGTGGGCGACTTTACATTGCATAACAATACATCACAAAAGATTTGACCTTGATGGAGGGTGGTGTGCGACTGTACACTACATAACAATACATCACAAAAGCATTGACCTTGATGAAGGGTGGTGCGCGACTTTACGCTACATAACAATACATAAGAAAAGAATTGACCTTGATGAAGGGCGGTGTGAGACTTGACATCACAGAAGAATACATCACAAAAGAATTGACCTTGATGAAGGTCGGTGTGAGACCAAGGGAAGTGATGACGAAGGGAGGCGGTGACAAAGGGAGTGTGGTGACTCTGGGAAGTGGTGACGAAGGGCGCGTGTTGACTTTGGGAAGTGGTGACTAAGGGAAGTTGCGAGGAAGGGAAGTGGTGAGGAAGGGAAGTGGTGACGATGGGAAGTGGTGACGAAGGGAAGTGGGACTTTGGGAAGTGGAGACTTTGTGATGACTGAAGCTGGAGCACGAAACCGTATATTTTTCCGTGCAAAGTGGTTGCAGGCGGCGGCGATGAAAGGTACCTCGTGTGTGCGGCGGGTGCGGCTGCGGGCGTTTCTGTCGCGAATGCGTTCCTCTCTGCGGCTGCGGATCGCATTGGAATGGCTGCATGATTGTTGTCATTTGGTGTTGCCATGTGCGTTGATCTGTGCAGGTTTGCAACATTATGCTGCAAAATTCAAACGCATTGTAATGGCTGCGTCAAGGTTGCTTCGCACCGCGGCTGCATGTGTAATGCTATTCTCTTTTGCAGCTGGACATCGTAAATCGCATTGGGGTGGCTGCATCAAGGCTGCGATATTGATTTGTCAGCAGGTTGTCTCAATTTTGGCTCTAGTAGTTTTCCTTTTAAAAGCCCTTTTAAAAAGCGTTTCCAAATCGTTTTTTTTTCGTTTTCGCGCCGAGATCCCGTAAATCGCCTCGGAATGGCTGCATCAAGGCTGTGAAAGCTTGCTGTGTGTAAAAGCTTCTCTGTGTAAAAGCTTGTTGTGTGTAAAAGCGTCTCTGTGTGTAAAAGCTTCTCTGTTTGAGAAGCTTGCTGTGCGTGTAAACGCTTGCCATGTCTAAAAGCACT